TAAAGAGGATGCGACTTCTCTCTGCCACAAAGAAGAAGTACTTCTTGTCCTCAAGTGTTTGTTCCTTCCGGAAATAGTCTTGTTTTTCCAAGAAAGTAAACGTGGTTAAAGGAGCCGACTTTGCATTTCAGCTTGTGCACAAGCCTACTCTGCTTCATCTACTTACAAAAGTGGGTTGTGGATACGAGAGGATGTAATTAACAAGAAGACTGAAAAATATCAATGATAGATCAAAGTGAGAAAACTTGTTTTGAGAGATTTTTCTGCCATCGTGAGTCTTTAGATTATCAAGATTTCTTTAGGCAGTCATTTATATTCTCTTGTAACTTTTTTTTCGATCTAGTGAGCCTCCACAAGACGTAGCGACCATGGTTAATGGGTGTGAACTCGTTAAAGTTGTGTGAGTGTTTTCTTTCTTTTTCTCAATCTCTTTACTGCATTCTCTGTTATTCCGTTTCTCATCTCTTTTGATACTCTGCTCAGCTAAAATTCTAAACAAACTCAGATCTTGTGTTGCTTGGTCTATAGTCTATACTCAAAAGGAAGTCAACGCCTTTAGGTCTATGAGAGCATGTACATTGGTCACAACCGCTAATGGGGTTCTTAACAAATTTATAATATTAAACTAACACTAAACTTAGTTTAAAACTCCATAATTCTTTTTTTAAAATTTTCTCCTCCATTGGTTGCAACCCTAAAGGGGTTTTTAAGAATCCAAAATTTACAAAATGTAACATAAGTTTCAACCTTTCTTCATCCATAAAAAAGAGTTTGTAAGAGAAATATATAAGCGTAGAGCTACCACCAAAAAAAAAATTTGATGAGATAGAAAAATCTGAAGCACACGAATACCTCACATTTAGCAATCACAACATTTCAACGCACACAACATTAACAAGTCAATGACGCTTCTCACAAGGGACTTAAAGAACATCAATATATTGCTTTGTACTCTGAGGTTGCAAGGAGTGAGGAAATCACAAAATTGTTGTTATAATGTATAAATGTTAAATCTTGAGATTGCATGATCACGATCAAAGACAAGAAAACAAAGAAACTCAAAGAAGTTTTATGATGAACCATAGGATTACTTATATGTACATATACCAGAAATAGACCCTCTAGCTCAAACATCGGTTCAATGAGCCCTGTGAGGGAAAGCGGTGTGGTTCCGATGAGCCTGAAGGATGCAGGCATAATGGACCGTGTACATTGCTCTGTCTGTAATGTTTCTACAATAGTATTACCCTCTCATCTACAACAACAACAAAAATGTTTAAGGAGTGATGAAAAAACTCTGTTTCGGGTTTTCGTAAAGCCTTAAACTTTATGAGGTTTTACCTGTAATTAGAACATAGTTACAGAGATCAAGAGTTCTTAAATCAGGACAACCATAAGCTAAATTCTCCAAATTTGAATCCAACCAAAAACCAATATGAAATCCATTCAAATAAAGCTCATGAGTAATGAGTTAACTCCATTTTAACTTGCAACCGAGCAATGTTTCACCAATTTCAACAAGAACATGGCAGACTCAAGCTTTAGTGACACCCAATGCACCAAATTATCATCATACCTACCAGAATCTGAACCTAAATGCATTGATACATGAATTTCTACTTTAATCGAAGAATTTGGTTTCAAAGAGCAAGTACCTGGAAAAGACGAACACGATTGCCTTCTTTCTCGACCAATTCGTTAATGACAAGGCCAGGTATGAAATCAGATAGCTTCTCGTAATCAGTCAATACGTTCCAAACCGAATCAAGGTTCGCTTCCATTCCAATCTTCGATCGGATTCGTCACGAGCTTTTCTCGAGTTTCTTCATTTCAATTAATACCTCTGCCGTCACTGAAATCTATCCTTTTTCTCCCTTCCGTTTTCCCCTGTAACTTCACTTTAAAATCCTTCGTCTTCTTCACCTTCATGTTCATCTCTTTCCCAATACCTTTGATATTCTCCATTATCTCCGACACAGACCTCCGTGAAGTAAACATCGATCTTAGCTTCCTCTTGCTCTCTCGATAGATCAAATCCAGATGACATCGAAGAGATTAATTCGAACGCGTTGAAGATCGGAATCACCTTCGTTTCGCCGGAATCGCCTTCGCAGCCTTAGACCAGAGAGAGACTCGAGAAAGAAAGTCTGATTTCTTTATTTTAATTATTTTTATAAATCCGAACCAATGAAAAGCTACCGCGTAAGGGATTCTAAAGGGCTCTATAACCTCTCAAACCAGAACCAGTTCTGGGCTTTCAATTCATTATTCTTTTTATTTTAATTCTTTTAAAACTCAGAATTCAAGTTCAGAACCCCCAATGGACATGCTCTCAAAGTCTTAATAGGTCTCAAAGCCTTAATTAGTATCGCAATAAAAGTCAATCATGCTCTAAGATGCTCCTCCCGTTTTTATTCTTTTTGACATTTTGAAATTATGTAAAGAGATATTGTTTTATGTTTAAACACAATTAGCAACAAAATAAATAATAGATTTGGCCCATTGGATTTATGATCAATCCACCAAATCCATTTACATATCTCAATCTCATTTCAAATAATTTGACAAGACTTAACTTCTCTTAATTACATTATAATGTAGTTATAAGGTTTTTAAACATTACTACTTGAAATTTTTCTACGAACTCAATGGATTATTTCTTATTCACTTAAAATCAATTTAATCTTATAAATTGTATGGCCAATGTAGTCTTAATTGATTTTTGATTTTTAATTGTTCCAACAGTTGGATCAGACACTTTGTTCCTTCTGTGTTCCTTCTGTAGAAATTGTAAATAATGTTTTTGGTAGGGCTTCAAATTAATCGTATGAGATTTTTATAGTATTATTTTTGTAGTTTGTTAGAAGAGATTTTTATAGTATTATTTTTATGGTTTTGAATCAATTCAATGAAATGTTTGTAATTGTAATCGTTAGCGATAGTTTCATTACTTTGTTTACCTGATTCAAAATTTAAAA